GTTTAGGGTTTAGGGTTTAAGGTGGGGCTTTTCCGACAAGTAGATAACCTTCCGGCTACTCGGGATCCATCTTCGCAGACCTCGTCTCATTATCGCACCTGCACTCTTTCCCCTTAATATTCTATCACTTAGAATATGTAGTCCCGAATCCCAGAAATTCTACCCTAAACCCTAAACCCTAAACCCTCCCCGGCCTCCTAAACCCCAAGCCCTAAACCGGGGTAGGCCCTCGCGGGAGCCTGCGTCAAGATGACCTGCACGTGCTTCTCTGTCAGAGCCTGCGGGGTCGATAATGTAGGGGGCCTTAATTACAACAAGGAACCCCCCAAAAAAATACCCTAAACCATAAACCCTAAACCCCTACAGTATAATTAGAATAAGGAGCCCCCAAATCAGTACCCTAAACCCTAAACCCTACAGTATAGATATAATAAGGAGCCCCCAAAATAGCATGTAGGTAAGTATTCAGGCTTCTATATGTTACTTTCCGCCAGGGCTGGCTTCTGGTGTCATCAGAAGCAACGGTTCTGAGAGCTCTCTAATGCAGGGGCCTTGAAAGTTAGAATAGGGCTTTGGGAAAAAAACTACTATAATTATAAGAAGGAACCCCAAAAATGGTATAGGGAAGTAGTAAGGCCCTTATATTTCAAGATTGCCTGTGCTGTGCCAAAACGAAATGCTCTCACTTCTGAGGCCTTCCAAGCAAAACGGTTGACCCCCATTAGGGTTTAGGGTTTAGGGTTTAGGGTTTAGGATCCCTCGGCCTGATATCGGCCCCTCCACGAAAGACTAAGCCCCAGGCCTAAACCCAAAGCCCTAAACCCTGAAGCCTTAACTCTAAACCCGAAAGCCTAAACCCTAAACCCTTAACCCGAAAGCCCAAAAACCCTAAACCCTAAACCCGAAAGCCTAAAACAAAAAAAAGGACACCCTACTCTGCCCAAGCCTTAAGCCCTAACTCGGAGCCCGCCTGCTGGGATTGGATGATCTTGTGGAGGTCTGCGGCGAGGTACCTGAAGCTTTCGGCTTGAGGTCCTCACACGCCCCGTGATATAGGGTTGGAGGTTTTTCTTAAGGGCTTAAGGTTTAGGGTTTAGGGATAAGGTTTAGGGTTTAGGGTTCAGGGTTTAGGGTGGGTTGTTCTCTAAATTAGGGTCCCTTTTAGGGTTCCTTAAAGGGATCTTTAACGGTTTCTATAAGGGTTGGTGTCAGGGGACCGTATATAAGGGTTCTGCATAGGTAGTTCTCGAAATTAGGCTCCCTTTTAGGGTCCGGTTTGTAAGGTGCCGTAGTATATTGGGGACCCAAAAAAGGGACCCTACTTTAGAGAGTTACCCATGTAGTTTTGCAGTATGTATTTTGGGCTTTCAAGTAGTCACAATATTAGGGTGCTTGCGGGGTGAAAGTATTTATTATATGACCATGGACCCTTAAACCCTAAACACTAAAGCCCTTATAAAACCCTAAACCCTAAACCCTAAAAGAACCCTTGTAGGAACCCTTACAGGATCCCTGAAAGGTACATGGGCTCCTAGGGCCTTCGGTTTTTGCCAAGGATGTCGAAGTCGACGTGTGTTCATTTCTTTCTAAGGTTAGAAGTATGGCCCCTAATATGGACCCTTAGGGCCTTAGGCCTTTCTAGGGAACCTTAAGGGTACATATAGGGGTATATAGTAGGTGCATTAGGGATCCCAGGGTTAAGGGCCCATGCTAGGCAGGCTTGGAGTCTTAATGTAGGCTGTAGGGTTTAGGGTTTAGGCTGAAGGTCCCTGTACCATTACCAAGATCATTCCCGGGGGTCCTTGTTATAAGTATAGCTTGATGGACCTCAAAGCCAGATTATTGATGAAGGCCCCTATACCAAATCCGCAGAATACCCTCCTTAAAGGGCACTTTAGCAATGAACCCTTTGGTTTAAGACCTCTACGCTATGGGGTCGTGGCGGCAGAAGCATTGCACAAGACGCTGCCTGGAGTTTCTCGACGGATGACTTGACTGCCTAAGACTCCCTACGCCAGTAAACTCCTAGACACCAGACCTACGCACATACACATATCCTAAGTAGTATTCGCGAGACGCCTTAAAGGGGACCCTTCTTCACCCTACTTCTGGCTCCCTTTAAAAGGAACCTTACTGAGAGGGTCTATAACTCCAAAAGTTCCCCGAATCCTAACTCCCAATTATATAAGCCCCCAGGGCTCCATATAGAAGATAATGGGCTACGGGGTTTACATACTGCTGACGATATACATCCCTATTTTGGGCAACGCAGGATTTATTATCATCAACCGTATGATATGGTCAGCAACCTCATAAACAGGTAATCGGAGCCTCGAGAAGAAGCAGGGTGTAGCCAGAAAGCCAGTGCACACGATCTGACACCAACCCTAAACACCCAACCACCTTGGAACCCCCCGCTTTTCTGGACAAGCCCGAAATCCTGAAATCTGCACAACCTTAAGCCCGAAACCCAAAAGCCTGAAGAATGCAACCCCAAGCGACCAACTCCCAAAAGCCTTAAATAATCCAAGACCGAGGCCCCTGCCCGCAAGCCTGAACCCCAAACCCCATAAAACCAATCCCTAACCCAAAGCAGCCGACTCCTCTGTGCCAAAGGAAGGGCGATCGGGGCCTCATTGAGGTGGACGCACGTCTGTGCCGCCCTCATTCCGTGTTTAGGGCTTCGGGTTTAGAGTTTAGAGGTTTAGGTTTTGAATAGGGTTTTGAGTCTAGGGTTTAGGGTTTCAGGTGTAATTACCTCGACCAAAACATCTCTAGATATTTAGGGGTCCTCATGATGGTTTCCTTACACAACTCCTTAACATAAACTAAGTTGTTTGGGGCTAAGGTATTTTTTAAGGAAGCCGAGGGGGGCTTTTTTTTTATGTTTTTACTTCTACGTGCATATAGGAGCATTAACAGTTGATATAGAGTTGTTGGGTAGATTTTGTTGCTCATGTTGTTGCGTCAATAGTCAATAGTTGTTGGTGGTTTTGTTTTGATTCTCCAGACTAGGGCTTTGGATGAAGGTCATGGGTTTCCGGCTTTCACGCTTCAGGCGCGGCACCGTGTGCAGCGGAACCGACCAGCGCAGCGAACCGCTGCGGGCTCTGGTGGACCCGCCCAATGCCCTGAACCTTCCTTTAAGGGCCCATGTACCTTTAAGGCCCCAGGCCCTATTATAAGCCCTAAACCCTAAACCATAAACCCTATAAGCCCTAAACCCCTAACCCTTTAAGGGTTCCTAGAAGGTTTCTTGATCAGCTTAAGGGTTGGGGATTTAGGCATCCATGTACTGTGATGGTGTATAATTTTGGCCTTAACGAATTCAAGTGGTCCCTATAGAATAGGTACTTTAGGGCCAAAGTCTCTAACTTTGATAGTATATACTTTGGCCTGAATGAAATAAATTAGTCCCTATAGAATAGGTACTTTAGGGCCAAAGTGTCTACTGAGTCTACTACAGGGGCACATGGATTGTAAAGGGTCCTGGCGACTTCGGGTAGAGACTCCTTGAAGTGAAGAGGTTTTGGTGGGTCCTGGGGGGCCTTGAGAATCAGATTCGGATTTCGGGGTACAGCATACCCTAAACCCTAAACCCTACATACTATAACTACGTGAGGACTCTCTGGGTATGGTGTCAACAATATGGGAGTTTCCGAAACTTAGGGGTACCTTATTTTGGGCTCCTTATAATCAGGATCCTACTATTTAGGGTGCTATATCAGGGTCCCCTATTTTTCGGAAACCCCCATATTCAGAACCCTGTATTGGGATTACGTAGTAACTTTTGGGTGGGTCAGGTACCGTGTTTCCATACCATAGGATCCTAAGAAAGCTGTTCAACATGCATGTTACAATCAGGTAGGCTTCGGAACGTTGGGGGCAAAAATAAGGACTTGTTTGATACAAGCGGTGAGCAGCACTTCATCGTGCTACAGGCTTGGTTTCAGGTGACTGCCCCTGGTGGTGAGTGTTGCCTTGCACACAAGTGACAAGCCCAAACGTCGGCAAACCTCAAAACCCGAAATCAGGAACCCTTAACCCTGAACCCTAAAACCCTTAGACCTTGGAGCCATGACGCCCCCAGCTTCTAGACAGCTCTAGCCTGCGGCCCCTCAGGTAAGATTGGCCCGAGAATTCTCAGGGTTGAGGGACTGCTCTGTGGAATTATGCTTTCAGGGCTTGGAACTTGTCCTTACGGAGTATGGGTTTATGGGTTTTTGAGGGGTTGGCGTCTAGGTTTCAACATACCCTATTCAAACCCTAAACCCCTAAACCCTAACCCCTAAACCCTAAACCCTGGCTACGGCTCAAGATCTTTTCCTGTGGCATGAGTGGATCTGCGGTGTTCTACCACGGATACACCTGGCGCAAGATGAAAGTTCATCTGAGGCTCACCGAGGCCGACGTGGTCGAGGATGCGCCATCAGAAACGCAAGCGGCAACTGTTCTGCCCTTCGAGGAGGCGTGGCCATATGGTGACGATGACTTTCTAGGTGATGAGCAGGACAAACTGGTCTTCGCCGAGACACATGCCAAGCTGCCTGAGATGCTCAAGATTCACCATGCAACACTCTACCAGCGAGACACGACGCACAACAAGGTGCAAGAGGCGCTCGCCCACATCAGGCATGGAGGCAAAGAGACGGATCAGGAGAGTGGGGTGTGGCTCTTCGACAAGCCCAGAAACATTCAAGCACCTCGAAAGACAAGTGCTGAAACATTCAAGAGCCTAGTGCATCGATTCATCCCCGTGGTGACGCCAATAAAGGACGGAAAAGTGATCGCAACATTCCAGGACAACGCTCCATTCCCACCCGCACCGCCATCAGCGGCAGATAAAACTGCGACTTGGACTTTGACCCTGGCACTTCGTGGTCGGACAGATGACATGTCCCGAACCATTCGGTCGGCCATGTTTGATTACGAGCTGACTGCGGGGACCCTGGACGGAGCTTTCACCAGATATGCCGATTACGGCATTCGTGCTAGCCCAGGGCGTGAAGATTGAGCCCTGGCTCGGCGGGCCACTCAAGACCGAGCCCTTCTCGAACATCGTGGAAGCTGTGTTGAGGACCCTCGCGCTTCCGAAAAGCTCGGCCACGGTCGATTTGGACAAATCGGATCTCCAGCAGGTGACGGTCAACGCCAACTCATCTCCTGGTTTTCCCCTTCGCTACCAGGGCTTTACCAAGCTCCGGGCCGCATGCGAGGACGGCGCCTTGGCTAACCAGGTAAAATCCTTGCTCGAAGTCATCTCGAACGCCGAGCTTGCAGATTTGCCAGACCTCAAGTATGAAGGGGTGCCATGGATGAGCCTCTATATGAAGCGCAAGTTGGAACTTCGCAAAGTTGCTGACTCGAAGAAGAAAGCGCGAACTTACTTTGAAGCGCCGGCAGAGGTCTCCCTGATGCTTGGGGCTTGGGTCCGCAAGTTCGAAGCACGGATCCCGAGGGCAAGCGTGTACATGGCTAGCCACAAGTGCAACAACGTTGAAGACGGGGCTGGTGTGAAATTCAGAAGCTGGGGACTCGGGCTCAATTTCCTGAGCGGAGGTGCTCAGGCCATCCACAATCTCAAACTGGATATGTTGTGGGCCACCAATGCTGGACTCCAATGCCTAGTGGTTGGTGACACATTGCTGCTCGCTGGCCATTCGGTAAAGGAGGGCAGGAGGGTTCTGCTTGCTCCCGATGTGCGGTC